AGCAGGGAACTGAATCCAAGTCTCTCATGGTAAACTAGTATACAAGAGAAATCAGCAGCACTACCACTTCAGACAAAACTTTTCATTTCTCTGTGAGAAAGGATGTCAGCACCTCCTTTCACAGATGAGGTTCCCAAGTGGTTAGAAGCGCCATTGATGTTCTGAGGTAGTCTTTCCTGAGGTTAGAAACAGCCCAGATATTAGACTTACTCTATTCTGAATGTCTCCTACCGGCTAGCTTCAGGCAGCCATGGGCTGGCCATGCTGGATTTAGACTGTACTCTGCTCAGCCTGCTGCTTCTTCTGGATCCCTTAGGAGGTGCTTAACTTCCCAAGGAGCCTAATACGGGTTCTGGATTCCTCTCCTGTGCGTAATATCTGACACGTAATCAGAAACAGATCCTGGCCCAAAGCTCCTGCCAGCCAAAAATGGAGAAAAACAGATTGGCTGGCATTCCGCCAGGGTTACACGCTCACAGGCAGACTGATGCTCATCGGATGACATCGCTGCAAATTAATTTCGTCCCAGTATTATCACTTGCAGTTGAAACATTCAGTTGTTTATAACAAAAATAAAGTTGTAGTGGATATTACGAAACATACAGGCCTTTCAGATACTTCACATTGTGGCAGCAATAAATGTTTCTGCTTCGATGTTTTGGTGAAGCTGGAATTACAGCACTGTGACAGTCAGCTCTTGCAGTAAGACAACGTTTGCCCAGATATTAACTTCTTGAAATGTTTGAAGAACTACATTCAAATAAAGTGGAAAAAAACCCCAAACCAACTTAAAACAAATAACTTGCTAAGTAAAGGAACCAGATCCTCAGCTAACATAAACCCTTTAAATAAAACTGATTTAAGCAAATTACAGATACTGAGGATCTTTGCTCCAGAATAAACAGAACTGAAAATAACCATTACACTTTTTCTACTCCCTCCTTCTTCACAATTCAATTTGTTTCAATCTTTCCTAAGGCCTGGTATGAAAGCAATTGTCTTCTGGGGTAAGCATGCAACAGTCACAGGAATCTAGGGCTTTTCTCAGCAAAGGAGGAAAAAGAAACTTCGAAGCTACCTACAGCTTTAAATAATCTCCTTCTCTTAAAAATGGGGGGTAAAAAAGTCTGACCTCGCAGCTAGGTACTTCTGAGTTGGGTAATAAAGTGATAAAGTTCATTTCTAAGACAGATGAGGAAATGCATTAGAAAATTATTCGTATCAAACCAAAGAAAGAATACATTTAAACCACTGTGGCCAAGCAGGTTTATATACCTATCTATATACCTATCTAATTTTACCTTTTGTGTGCCCCATTAAGTTGCTGCAGTAAAGAATATTACACAAATGCCCTGATCTGCTCAGAAATTTGTGCCTGGATATACAAGCCACCAGGATGCAAAGGACGCAGCCAAGCTCTCATTGACTTAACGATCAGAAGAGGTTAATATACCATGGTCTGTCCTTCTACCTCCACTCGCAACCCCACCCTTCTGTTGAGACTATGCGCTTAGTTCCCGAATTCGCGACAATTACTCTGTCAAGGCTGAAGTCATTGAATCTGAGGTCATCTAAGCCAGGCCCTTACCTGCTCCAAACTGGCAGATCTCTTCTTACTTCAGCCAAGCTAGGACAGCCAAGGGTGTATGAAAGCAAGACTGGTCGGGTTTCCGGATAAATCCTGTCTCTTTTGCTATTGCACACATCCCTCCCACAGAATACCATTCATAAACTGGAAACTCTCCACCTTAAAATTAACTAGGTTAATTAACTAACTGGTTATTAATTAATTATCTGGTTTGAAAATGTGAAGTAAAAAGGCACTTGACAATAGCAAAATAACACTGGAATGAAAGGGGGGCTAAAAAAGTCCATTATATCACCTGAGTCTGGTGCCAAAATAAAGTCTCTATTTAGCAGGCATCAGCCCAGCTGGTACTTAACTTCTAGTACCTATTGCCATTTCTCTAAATAGAGTAAAAAATTGATACTGTGTCTCACAAGTTCTTTCAGACATTTTAAATGTAATTGCGACACCTCAGAACATTTCTCCTTCCTCACTTGTTGCTTGAAGATACATGACCATGTAAGGGATCAGCTGGGATTTGATGTGTTACCACACACCAGCAGTGTCACAGCGGCAAATCTCTTAGCCTCCAGCAAACATCAAGTCATCTGCTTAACGTGCTCCATAGTGGATTACCTTAAATCACATTACCTTGCATTTGCCTCATACTATGCACAGACACACGGATACTTAGCTTAGCAAATAAACTGATTTTGCCTCTGAGCCCTTAGACAAGAGGTCTTTATTGAGTTTTGCACCTCGGGTCAACTGCTGTGATCTGCCATTATCAAGGGATGGCAGCAACTCGGCCACTTCTCAGATTAGGTCCAAAGAAAGGCTACTAATAAAACTCAAAAAAGGCCCACAGCTAACCAAAATACATACACTAACTACAGCCCCATGAACGAAAAGGGTTCTCGCACAACTTACGTGCCACCTCACGACATCTCAGCCAGATGGATATGTCGGAATTAGTTTCTGAAGGGCAGAAGTTGTTTTTTTTGAGAAGTACATCTGCAAGATTATGTCGCTTTGCTGCTGAGTCTTCTTTTGTGGTAAAACGGCTGCTGCATTCTTTCCAGTGCCAATAAACCTATAAAATTTGGTGTGTGAAATAAAAATCTTCATCAAGATTATGTATTAGTGGCAGGACATGCAAATACTAGCTTTTGTTTTTTTTTTAAACCTTAAAATAAGCACTGAATCCTTGCAAAAGACTATGACACAATTAACGGGACAAAACCAGTTTCCCAGAATCTGTAGTTACAAAGGCAGCAACTTAGCTGAATGCAAGTGAGAAATGAGACACACGATCTTTCATCCCAAATAAGTAAGGTTTTACCCAGTAGAACCTAAAATAATATTAAAGTAGTGCTTGCTTAATGAAATTACATTGTTAAAAAAACCCTAAGATTGGTATTTCCCTTGTAAAAGGTAAGTTTTTTAATGACTGTTTTCATGTTCTTGTACGTCAGAAGCCCAGAGCGCAGTGACAGTAATGAACAGCAGACAGCACCCTTTGCCTCTGAGGGGCACTTCTGAAGCGCTAAGGTGACCACTTCAAATCACCTTCAGCTCCTGGACTTCCCTCTAAGCTGGACTTTTTGCGTTTCACCCAGCTCTTGAGGCAGCCCCAGACATCTCCCGTCCCCTCGGCCTTCAGCGTGAGGCTGAAGCGGCGATCTGGGCTCTGCCTTCCTCCATTCCTCATCCTGCTCCAGAAAGATCGACCGACGCGTACCTCACCAGCCCCGAGGCC